GAACCCAGAAGGCAGAGGTTGCAGTGAGCCAAGATTGTACCACTGCACTCAAGCCTGGGCAACAGAGTGAGATGCTGTCTCAAAAAAAAAAAAAAAAAAAAATTAGCCAGGCATAGTGGCACATGCCTATAATATCAGCTACTTGGGAGGCTGAGTTGGGAGGATTGCTTGAGCCTGGGAGTTCTAGGCAGAAGAGAGCTATGATCATGCCACTGCACTCCAGCCTGGGTGACAGAGTGAGACAGACACTGACTCTTAAAAAAAAGAAGACAGTCAAATCTCCCTGTGCCCAAGTTAAGAAGCCCTGGGCTAGGTCACTGCTAAGAGCCCTTCCTGTTCACTTTCTCTTGAAGGCTCTGGCCTCCTGATTTTCAGTCCAGTGCTCCTTTCCCGGGGCCCGGGTTCCTGCCCCAGGCTTGGCTGGATGTGGGGAGTGCCCTGGGCAGCGCTGAGCTCTCATGCACCTCCCTCTGCCCAGGTAGTGGCTGTGGTGATGGACATATTCACTGACATGGAGCTTCTGTGTGACCTCATGGAGGCCTCGAGCCGGCGTGGTGTCCCTGTGTACCTGCTCCTGGCCCAGGAGCACCTGAGGCACTTCCTGGAGATGTGTTACAAGATGGACCTCAATGGGGGGCACCTGCCGGTCAGTGAGGACCAGGGGCAGTAACCAGGGGTGCGGATGGGGAGTCAGGGAGGGCAGGGGAGCCAGTGGGTGGCCACTCAGCACTGAGGGGGCAGTGGGAGTTGGGGGTAGGTTCCCTTAGCTGTCTGGGGTTGGAGACCCCATGGGGCAGAGACGTGGCTTGAGCCTCACTCTCTCAAGGTCACCCCCAACCTACTTACACCTAGAACATGCGTGTGCGGAGCATGTGTGGGGACACATATTGCAGCAAGGCTGGCCGCCGCTTCACGGGGCAGGCCCTGGAGAAGTTCGTCCTCATCGACTGTGAGCAGGTGGTGGCAGGCAGCTACAGGTGAGCAGGCGCGAGGAGGCGAGGGGGGCCTGGGACTGCACCACTGGCTGGCAGCTCTGAGCTTCCCTCCACTCGTCCATCCCTTCGGACACAGACTGAGCACCTGCCATGTGCCAGGCATCATGCCAGGCTCAGGGGAGGGTGTTGGGGGCAGGTCGGCCCTGAAGGAGCTCACTCTAGGGGAATGATGACTTTAATACCCTTGGCATAGAAAATGACTATTGCACATTGGAACTGGAGTGACTTCAGGGAGCCTCCCACAAGTCCATTTTACAGATGGGGAAGTTAGGGCCCTGAGGGCAGCCATGTGCCCAGGCCCACTAAGCAGGGCTAGGGCAAGCACAGACTCTGGAGTCAGAGCTCTGCCCCTTGCTGTGAGCCCTCGTGGTGGTGGGGTTTGGGTCCAGCATGCTGGACCAGGTATGCACCTCTGGCTGTGACTCCTGCCAACACCCAAGGTCCTGCACTTTGCCTCCTGACCCCCCTGTCCCTCTGCCCCCAGCTTCACCTGGCTTTGCAACCAGGCCCACACTAGCATGGTGCTGCAGCTCAGGGGCCGCATTGTGGAAGACTTTGACCGGGAGTTCCGCTGCCTGTATGCCGAGTCGCGGCCTGTGGAAGGCTTCTGCAGCGGTGAGGACCCGCTGTCTCCCCGGGCACTGCGTCCTCCCCCCGTGGCCCTAGCCTTCAGGCCTGGCATCCCAAGCCCCACATCGTCCCCGCCCTCCAGCACCAGCCTCAGTAGCATCAAGCGGTCACCACTTACGGGTCTCTCCTCCTGCCTCGCTCTACCAGGAGGTGGTGATTGCAGTGACATGGGCATGGGGTCCTCGTCTCTGGGTCCCGCCCGCCATGAGGCCCATGGCCAACCCTCCCTGCATCGCCAACTGTCAGACCCTAACCATGGCTCCCCTCCTGGGCTCTATAGGGCCAACCTGGGCAAGCTAGGATCATACCCGTGGTCCCAGTCCTCCCCTGCCCTCAACCATAATAGTGCCAGCCCCTTGACCTTGGCAGTGGGGTCCCCTCTGCTTCCTCGCTCCCGGCCCCTCCTCCAGTTCCACTGGGGTGTCCCAGCTATGTCCCGGTTCCCAGAGAATGGGCTCCCAGGAAGCCAAGAGCCCAGCCCCCTGCGGGGTCGATGGGTACCTGGCACAGCCCTGGAGACAGTGGAGGAGAAGGAGAAGAAGGCATCTCCAAGTCAGAGCCGTGGCCAGCTGGATCTCCTTGTCCCCTTCCCCAGAGCCCGAGAAGTGAGAGACCCTGACTCTGGGGCTACCCCCAACTCAAGCCCCCTTCGGGCTGGCGAGCAGGCCCCAGAGGACAGGAGGTTGTCCCCAAGCCAGGCCAACAGCCAGCTGGATCTTCTGTCCCGAGCCCTGGGTACTGGGGGTGCCCCTGAGTCAGGTTCCCTCAGACCTGGTGATCGGGCCCTGGAGGACAGGAGGATGTCCCTAAACCATAGCCATGGCCAATCAGACCTCCTGGTGCAGTACCCCAAGGCCCAGGGCTCCAGAGTGCCCCTTGAAACCAACTCCTCAGTCAGACCTGCCAGACAGGGTCCAGATGAGCGGCGGCAGACCCTGGGACACAGCCAGCTGGACCTCATCACAAAGTTCGGCCCATTCCGGGGTGAGGGGCCTGGGCCTAATGGTCTTCCAATACCAAGCCCTGCTCGCACGACTGGAGTGGGGTCTGGGGATGAGAAACGGCTAACCCTGGGCCACAGCAAGCTGGACCTCATCACCAAGTATCATCAGTTGCAAGGTGCCAGGCAGGCACCCGAGCCTGGGGCTCCCAAGGGTGGCCATCTCAACGGTGGTAACAGTGACCTGGTCAGGGATGAGAAACGGCTGACCCTGGGTCACAGCAAACTGGACCTCATCACTAAGTACAACAAGTCCAAGTTCAAGCAGCTCCGAAGCCGCTTTGAGTCCTAGCCAAAGGACTGGCGTGGGGGTGCACTGGCAAGGGCAGGCCCCTCCTCTGTCCACCGAGACTCTGGACTTGCTCAGGTCCCAGACTGGGGAAGGGAGGTGTCTAGAAGCCCAGGTCAGACGCACTCTCTGGGCTCAAGATTCTTGTGTACACACACACACACACACACACACACACACACACCCCAGTATATTCTTGAATCTAGGCTGTGTTTCCAGCCCTGTGCTGGGCATACCATAGAGCTGACAGGTGGGTCGACTCAGACCTGGGGACAGAGATGAAATGCACAAGCTGCTGGAGAAGGGGTCAGAGCGATAACAAGTTAAAGGTTAACCAGTGACAGAGGGTGTTAGAAAACAAAGGGCAGAGAGTCATGGAGAAGGTGGAGTAGTCAGAAAAGTTTCTTAGAGGAGATGGAGGTGGTCTTTGAGCCAGGCCTTGAAGGATGGGGAGGTTTTGGACAGAGGGAGGAGAGAGTTAGAAAAATTTTTGGTAGAGGGAATCAGGTGAAGAGACACCCTAGAGAGGACTGAGTGGATCTGACGTGAATGAGGGAGGAGGAGCAGAGTATGTCGATACACAACCCCCCCCACACACACCATCATCATCATCATCATCATCATCATCATCATCATCGTCATCATCTTGCTGAGTGTCTCTTGAAGTACAGGCTGTGACAGGTTGTGGGCCATTTTCCTGAACTCACCACTTGCCCAGGACAGTAAACATGATACACATCAATAAAGGCAGACTTTATTATAACCCACAGTGCCTGGTGTATCCTGAACTTTGAGGAGTTATGGGAGGGGCACGTTAGGGGAATGGGAAGGGCACCATTCAGGCCAATTATGGGGAGCCCCCTGGAGGAGGGTGAATGCCTAAGGAGGAATTGGGGGAGTCCAGGGGCTCCAAGCTACCACTGTGACATTTTGAGAGAACCTAGGGCTTTTGCAGATTCTACAAAATATGGGCCAAGCTCATCCTGTCCAAGTGTGCAGCAGGGCCCTTGGCCCCCATCACTATCCCGGGGACAGAAGTTGGCTGTTGAGTGAGTGACAGAGCCCATGCGAGAGGCACATCGTGGAAGCCAACCAGCATCTACATCCTTGCCCACCCTGGACCCCTTTCCAGCCTTTTCCTGAGCCCCTTCTTCCTCAGTCCTCCCCTCTCTCCAGCACCTGCAGCTTGGTGGCCTTTCCCTCTTTGGCTGCGCCTCCTTCTCCAGCCTCGGTCTGGCCGCACTTCTCCCTCCTGGAACTCTCTCCATGTGTAGTCTCTTCTAGTCTTCAGCCCCTCATCTCTTTCCTCAGCTCTCCACTCCCCTGCTGGATTCCAGACACGGACTTCTGTCCCTCAAGGCATAGCTGGACTCATCACTTTCCCCAAACCTGCCCTTCCTCCGGCTTCATTTCGATCAATACCTCCATCATCAACCCTTCTTCTGCGAGACACTCCTGGCCCCTCCTCTCCCTCATGCCTCACATCCGACCAGCCGGAGGTCTAGGTCGATGACAGCTCCTAAAAAGCTTCTGAATGAATAATGAATGAATGAGCGCGAGCAGGCTGGGGGTGGGGCCAGGCGGGGTCGCGCCCAGACTTCTCGCGACCATAGAGTCCCCCGGAGGCCGAAGGTAGAGGGGCTGGATGCGTGGCGGGGCGTGCCAGGCTCTCCCGGAAGTCTCCCTGGGCGGAAGTGGAAACTGAAACCTTTTTAGGGAGTCCAAGGTACAGTCGCCGCGTGCGGCGCTTGTGGATAGTTGGTGAGCTGGTGTGAGGGAGTCTAGGAGGGTCAGCTCCGGTCCTGGGTCGGGAGGGGTGGGGCCGGAGGATTCGGGGCCTTAGGGTCTGGTGGGGGCCCAATGGGCGGGACCCGAGGGCGGAGGGGCCGGGAGGCCGAG